TTAATATTAATTTATTTTTTAAATTTTTTAGCATTTTTTTCTTTGCTCTTCTCCTGCGGTTTCCACCACACAAGAGTCTCACATGTACTTAAATATATTATATGAATACATGGGCGTAGCCAGGTAGGGGCAGGGGGGTGCTCGAGCCCCCCCCCTAAGTTTCAAATTTTCCTTATATATATATAAAATAGTACCCTGAAATGCCAGCTTAATAGGGTCGAGCCCCCCCCCTAAATTTCATTCTGGCTACGCCGATGTATGAATACATTCGTAGTATTTTGGGGATTTTTTTGCATGCCTACACATGTATAAATAGCAAAAATTGAAATCATAAATAGTCTTCATAATTGATTTTAAATTATTTGTAATGAATATACATACATACACATGTGCATGGATTTTGTTTGCAAAAGTGCGCAATTATTTCTGTATGTACATACATATCTGAGAGCTTACGAAGTTTGTATGTTCAGGTGTGCGAATATTTTTAAGCATTTCTGTTATTTGCATTTTTTCACACACGGAAATTGAAAACAGGCCCCAAATTTGTGGTGGGGAAATTGATTGCAATTGAAAGATGAAAAACGCATGCTTATGCCCAGCCAACCAGCGGAGTCTGCCGGGTGCGCAATTAGAACTCTCTGTGCGGTGCGCTGATGCTCCTAGGGGGGGGGGGGGCTCCAAAAAGAGCCCCAAAGGAGCATATCGGAGAAAAGGGCCTTTCTCAATATACACTCATGAAAAAAGTGTGCCCTTAGGACTCCTTAAATTAGTGATTTCGGAGTCTCAATCAGCGTTGCCGCTTTAATAAAACTGTATCATTTTTGATACTTTTTTCGGCATTTTAAGATTTGATACTTTAATACTTTTTTGTTCATAAATACCCCATTTTTATACTTTTTGCTGACAGAAATGAATTTTTGAAAACTAAGAATAATATAACTAGTTTAAAGGCAAATAATTTTTTTCTTGTTATTTAAAGTTTTGCAATTTTTTTAAATTTGATTTGGTAACTCTTATAAGGGAAATACAACCCGGAATTTCTTTGCACACGCCGCTGTTTTAGGGCCCCTAAACCACAAAAAACATTGCGCAATATCGGGCTTTCGTCGGCCGTTCGTGCGGTGTTCGCACTAAATTGCACAATTGTTGCGCTACAATCAAAATCATTTTGATATTTTTCGCATGCTTGTACAATAACTTGTGTTGTGCATGGCAACAACTGCGCAATTTTTTGTCTAGTTTTGATTTTGGTGCTGTAAAATATTCATATTTAAGAGCCTAGACATTTTTTTTTTTTAATATTATTATTTTTTCACAATATTGACTTGCACAAGTCTCCGGTTTCGCAATGATTTTGTATGGTTTAGGTCCGTTTTATTTGTTTTTCAAATAAAAGTTAAAAAAATAACAGTTGAGTTTGCTTTTGATACTTTTTAATACTTTTCCTGCTTGGCAACTGATACTTTTTTTTCAAGCTCGCGGCAACGCTGGTCCCAATAAGCTCACTCAGATAATCTACAAAGACCTTTGAGGTTTGGTATTCTTTGCCTGGACCAGCAATGTTTCTATTAAATGTGCCTTGAAAATTTTTAAGTTAACCAAAACAAATTTGGTATGTCTGATGGTTTACTTCTAAATGCGACTGACTTAACGTCAACAGCTTTGTTTGCGGTGACCCTTTTCAGGAGTATTCGGAAGCGACGATCACCTTCTGGATTGAAAGTTTTATTTTTATCTTACAGCCTACAAAAAAAAGAAAAACGAGATAACAAAAAACATTTTGGCTCCCTTTTCACTGCGTATTCGGAGCCATATTTGGAGTGCTCAAGATTTGGCTAGCTGGGTTGAAATAATCAATTTAAATACATAAAAGTACTCATACAATACAATGCAGACGTACATATATGTAGTATGTGTGTTCATATTTGCAAAGTTTTTCGCTATTTTATTTTTTTTATTTAAAGTTTACTATTTCTTTTTTTTTGTGGAAATATACATAACTCGCTATGTAGCAAAACCCGAATTTAAAATTTCAAACTTTTGAATTAGAATTTTTATAAAAAATTTTCGTATGCAGTTTTATAGCCCTTTCAATTTTAGTAAAGTAAAGTAGCTAGGACTTAGCGTTGATCGAAATTCTCTAATAATTCTGAGCATTTTATGTATATACATACGTCTATATCTGTCTCGATTCCTTATTACTATTTTCAATCGCTTTTTCTTGTAAAAAACAGCTTTGACCTGTGAATAAAATAAAAATTTTTCAAAACACCTTCGATTGATACCCATATTTTAATAATTCATTTAACTTATTAAATAACTTGAATTTAACTTTTTAAGCAGGTGGCAACCCTCTTACAATACCTAAAAAATATTCTTAGCGTACAAACTAAAGATTTCTTAATACTCCTTCGTTTGTCATCCATATTTTGGTGTTTCATATATCTAAATTGTGTATAAGTAAACTAAATTCGACACTGCAAGCAGGTGGCAACCCTATTAAAAATACTTTCAAACTACTATTTTCTGAAACGCCTTTCGTTTGGCACCCATATGGTGATACATATTTCTCTTAACTATTATGAAATTTTAAACAGGTGGCAACCTTCCTATAGTTTGACTAAGAAACAAAGCTTTTCAAAACCATTGCTATTTACATATATCGATTTTGTCATAATTGATTTATTTTTTAAACAATTTGTATATAATTATTTAAAAGGTGGCAACTCTTCAAAAAGTAAAACTTTATTGCACATCTACAGTCCAAGCCTTTTAATTTGACACCTCATTTCGGAAGATCGAACGAACGGTGCCGACATGATGGCATTGATTTTTAAATAATTCGAATTTAAATGTTCAACAGGTGGCAACTCTCTTCTAAAAAATAAAACCAGTTTGCACATCCAAAGACTGTATTTTTCATTTTTGAAAATCGGGCGAGCAGTACAGATCTTTTGTCCTGGACAAAAAATGCCTTCGCATATTATATATATGTATATAGAAAGATAGATATTTGACCAGTTAGAGACAAACTAATTTCAGCAAATAAGTTGCCCTTTCATATCTCCCTGAATAACACATCAATCGGTTTGCTGGTACTCTGAAGTCTTCCTTTGAACATGGCCTGCATATGTATGTATACAAATATGATTTCTCAAAAACTTGTAGCATTAACACACACATAAAACCGTTAAGCGGACATACATATTTTCAAATCTACCTAATGACGTTCATCCGTTCGGCGGCTGCAAAGCATTTAATCAGTGTCAAGTTTTTGTGCTAAAAATAGACTTGTACAACAAAGTATCCAAATGACATACAATACGCTTGTTCGAAGTGTGTACGCACAATTTTGCGTTCACTGTTAAGCGAAAGCTCTGGATTTTTTTTTTTTGTACGCGATTTTAATTTATGTGTAAATATATTTACATTTTTGATTTTATGCGCACGCTTTTGTGTTCTTTTAAGCTCTGGAATAACTTTTGTATCATTTGACGTCCAAATTTTCTGACTGCCATTTTTCTTTGACATTTTGCTGATTCATTGGCATTGGGCATTGGAATGATAAGTTTGTACTCTAAATGATTTATTAAAGACTTATTCATAATGACAAACGTTAAGTATTAAGTCATATTTAGCGAGACTAGATAGGCGCGCACGTACATATGTATGTGTTATGTATATATATATGTGCAGTGACCCAAATATAAATTGAGACGCGATATTTTAGCAAGTTTTGGCTATGTTCCTTTAGTTTATTTAATGTTTAATATTTTTTTATGACAGTAAAGCTGATTGCTTAAGAAACACCATATTAATCCAAATCTCAGACTCCATCTTCCCTACCTACCAATGCTCTGGAAATTGTTTTGAACTTTCTTTTGACAGACCGTTATTAAAATATGACGCTTTTCTGAGTCTTAAAAAAAAATCAGTTAAGATAGGGCGTTCTTGAGCCATTTTCTCAGATAGGGCGTTTTCAAACCGGCTGCCGAGATATGTAGGTCCATCTTCCACTCAGCAGTCGATATATTCTTTATAATTCTGATTATTATAAAATTTTACCTCTAAGTGAACTTTGCTACTTTTGTTCAACTCACAATTTATGACACCAAAATAAAAAGCATGAAATGAGTCAGTTTGGTTGACTAGTCTCAGAATCATATCGACCCCTATTTAGATTCACACTTTTGAAATTATTTAATTTTACCATTTCTCTCCTTCAAAACTGCTTATAAGATTTTGATTTTATCTTTTTACTTATCATAACTTTTGCACTTCAGCCTTTTTTATAAAATTGCAGTCTTTGATTTTAATCTTTTTTAATGCAAACGACGAGTCGAGGAATATAATAATTGTTTTCCAAAATTGCCAAAGCGCCAATGTGGTAATTTTAGATGTTTGCTACAAAATTAAATGAGCTTTAACACTGCATCTACGAAGTAAAATTGTGGACAACCTAGTAGACGCACCAAACAGTTAAAGTTCAAAATATGTTGATCTTATTCTGCTGATTAGCAGTGCTTATATTTGATTGACTTAAAATTCAGTTTTTTTTTCAAACAATCCTTAAAGTACCAGCAGTATTTGTTTATAAATGTCCAGATTATACAACAAAAAGCTATCGCAAGCGTCAATTCTTTGATAACTTACCTCTCAGCTTGTTCAGGAAAAATATCATAAGCGCCATTTTACCTTTAGACAATGGGGTATGAAAAAAATAAGTAGTCCTATTAGGAAAGCTAGCATTCGATACTGTTTTTGTCCATTTTGGATTTAAAAATTAAAAAAAAAAATTCCCCTGTAAAATTTACCTCTGGACCCTACATATCTAAGATTGGCAGTGTGTGTATTAACTAGACACTGTCTTTAGTTTCTTTTAGAGCCTTTTCTTACTATTTTTAATTAAAATATATGTATGTACAAGTGCAGTACATAAGTGTAAGCAAATGTTCAGTCTTTAAATGCAAATTTTTATACTTATGTACTTACAGGATTGGGCGAGAGAAAGAATACTACGAGGACATTATGTCTAAAATTAATGGGTAAGTTTGATTTTCGAGCAGTGAAAGGCTCAACTTGATTTCCTTTTTCCACACTTAGCACACTTAAATAAACATTTCAATTTTCTATTAATCTCTTTTGTCGTCACATCTCTGGCGTACAGTGTCCTACTGCCAGGCGGTGCAACTTATTTCAATCAATCGCGTGGCTATGCCGATGCCGGTCAACACATTTACAATATTGCCATTGAAATGAATGAGGCCGGCACATATATGCCCATTTGGGGCACTTGCTTGGGTTATGAGCTTATGATCTATTTAACAGCGAATCGTACAGATTTACGCACCGAGTGCTCGTCATCGGCGCAAGCATTACCGCTGGAATTCGAGAAAGGCTACAACAATAGCAGACTGTTTGGCAATGCCAGCGCTGAAGTGTTGCACATATTGAGAACATACAATGTGACAGTTAATTTTCACATCTTCTGCTTTACGAAGGAGGTAAGTATTTTGAGAATGAATGGTGTTGATGAGTTTGTAGAGCATAACTAGTGGAAAGTGACCTTTAGCATAACTATTGGCCGCAATAGCAATTTTAATAGCTATTACGAATAGTGCAAAAATTCAAAGAGAATATATAAGCCTATATCCTTAGTTGAGCGTTAAATACGTTGATAACTTGAGCAAGAGTACGCATTCGTATGCGTTACGTATACGCAATGTGTACCCTGAGGATGCTTACAAACTGTGACTCGAAAGTAGAAAAATTAAATTCGAATAGTGCGGCATTATATAGAGACACAACTCCAAAATCCGATCGGGTAAGATAACTACTTTTGGATCTTACAGATTTAGAGCAATTAATGCAAAAACAGGTATAAAATTAGTTTTCTATGTAGTAAGAAAATTAAATCAGGAAGAAAAAAAAATTTGATTTATTGTATCAAATCAGCGAAGGAAAATATTTTTACGATAATGCTCTTCAAAAACAAAACTATGGTTTATTGATATATATGTATATATTCTTTTGTGTTAAAATAAATAATGAAAAAGTCATGCATGACTTAGGAATATAAAAAGTAATAATTTTGTGATAACATTAAATTTATATGTGCATTACATTATGTCAAAAAGAGACTTAAAAATATTTATAAGTGCATTACTCACAGTTTCTAACTGCTTATCTATAGCTTATTTCTACTGTCATTTAAGTAGAGTCAATATGATAATAAATATATGAATTTTTCATTTTCTCTAAAAAAAATACCTAAATCGAAAAAGCGATTTATTAGAGTCCGAGTTAATATATAATATCTAATATATATGTATGGTTTTTTGAGTATGTATGTATGTCAGTAACTAATATCATTAAAAATCAATAAAGTGGAACTGTAAATTTCTACTAATTTTAAGTTTCGCTGTTTGGGACAGAAACACGTGTCTGCAGCAATGCAAGTATGTACTTATCTACACTACTACTAGCTAACAAGTATGTAATTACCCTATCGGAAAAATTTCACTGGCAGATACTGAATCGTAGCTACATATATATATTTTCGTTGTTTTCCATACACTCACGGCAAAAAGTATTGGTGTAGAGAATTTTTCCTAATAAATATATGAAAAATTTGTATTTTATTTTTTTCCGCAAATTTTTTGTAAAAATATTTTCCATACTACAACAAAAACCTACAAATATAATTTCTAAACTTAGTGCAAAACTCAGGGAACCTCAACAAATTTACATGCAAATTTTCAACTTTTTAATAACATTTTTTTTTATTAGCCCATTAAATTTTAGAATAAAAAATCTAAGTTCGAAGTTTCTAAAAAGTAGCATTTTTTAAGTGGACGTGCTTCACATTTTTTTCATACAAAGTATTTTCGAAATTTGTTTGGTATGAAAGAAAATGCGTAAAAATCAACGGTAAGTACCAGCTACTTCAAAGTTGGTCCAACCATTTCATTTTTTGGAGTTTTTGGGGACCTATAAAAAATAGTTAATACCAAAAGATGGTAAAAAACAATAGAAAAATATTGATTTGTTTTTTCCCATATAAAACACATAAAAAACTTTGAGCGCTTTGAGGGACCGCTAAATAATTTTTGATAAAAAAAAAAAAAAAACTGGAGTATATTTGTTTGGTATAGAACAATCCTAGGGGGTGGCAGCATTAAAATTCCCACTTTACTTTATTTGGACCACCCTAATATATATACATATTTACATTTTATATGGGCATACTTAAACAATCCTTTCCTACGTTTCTAATAAGAAAAAGTGTGCTAATCGATTGATGCCCTCTTGATTTAAATTAAAAAAGTGGTTTCATTCTCGGACCCCATTTCGTTATCGAATATTTTAAAAATTTTGTTACGATGGCTTCATAAAATGTATGATTTTCCGCTCACCATGTAAATGAATCGAATCATGACGTCAATATTAACTCCAGATAAAGTAATTAACCCAGAAGGTTACGTAGAAATATTTGACTTAATCAATTTAAACGAAATTTTGTTCTCAAACCCATCTAACGGGTGATTTTTTTGAGGTTAGGATTTTCATGCATTAGTATTTGACAGATCACGTGGGATTTCAGACATGGTGTCAAAGAGAAAGATGCTCAGTATGCTTTGACATTTCATCATGAATAGACTTACTAACGAGCAACGCTTGCAAATCATTGAATTTTATTACCAAAATCAGTGTTCGGTTCGCTTTACGTCCGATTTATGGTCTACATAATCGACCAAGTGAGCAAACAATTAATGCGATTGTGACCAAGTTTCGCACTCAGTTTACTTTATTGGACATTAAACCAACCACACGAATGCGTACAGTGCGTACAGAAGAGAATATTGCGTCTGTTTCTGAGAGTGTTGCTGAAGACCGTGAAATGTCGATTCGTCGCCGTTCGCAGCAATTGGGTTTGCGAAACACATTTCGAACCGAACACTGATTTTGGTAATAAAATTCAATGATTTGCAAGCGTTGCTCGTTAGTAAGTCTATTCATGATGAAATGTCAAAGCATACTGAGCATCTTTCTCTTTGACACCATGTCTGAAATCCCACGTGATCTGTCAAATACTAATGCATGAAAATCCTAACCTCAAAAAAATCACCCGTTATATACATCCCGTTTTCGGTAGTTTTAAGTTAGTGAAAAATTATCTGCATTTCTAGGGATAAAATCACCTACATAGATAGATCTAAAATTGCACTCAGATATTTTTGTCGGAACTTAATACCCTTTTTCTTCCTAATCTGCAATTTTTGCAAACGAAAATGCTACTCTAAACTTAGCCCACGGCTAGAAAATTCAACAAATACTCAACACAAATACCAAAAGTTACGCCACTGGTTCAGGTTTTTCCTATTGGGTAGCAGCAAGCTTTTTTAACGGTTAGTCGTATATACACAAATGGTTTGCCTATTTTTAGGCACCACTTACTAACATTTTCTCTAGCATAATGTAATTTCAAGTCGCTTTTAAAATGTATGTATTTATGTCCCCATCAAACTTTTAAGGCTCTGTTATGCATACTTGGCATTGCATGCACTGCTATACCATTTTTACGTAGAAATCAGAAACCAACAGACTTTTACGTATGTTATGCTGTGCGTTGGGTAACCGCTTACACGCGAAGCTCATTTAACAGATTCCTTATGTGACAACTCTCAAGCAATGCCAAGTATGCATAACGGAGCCTTTATTTTATATTTTTAGACATTTGCCATGTACGACCTCAACAAGTACTGGGATGTGCTTAGCATCAATAATGACTGGTATGGCGCAGAATTCATATCGACCGTGGAGCATGTCAAGTATGTAACTGCTAGTGCTTAAAATAGCAACCCTTGCACGCGATTCGCTACTGATCTTTCTTTTTTTTTTTTGCTTATTTTAGATATCCATTTTATGGCGTGCAATTTCATCCGGAAAAAATTCTTTATGAATTCATTCCTAATCGAAATATTACACACACTTCGCAAGCTGTCATCGCATCACAATATTTTGCAGATTTTTTTGTGAATGAAGTGCGTAAAAATCGACATTCTTTCGCCAATCGTACAGAGGAGATCGATGCGCTCATCTACAACTATCAGCCGGTGTACACGGGTGCTAAGGGTTCTGCTTTCGTCCAACAATATTTGTTTGAGGCATATCACGCCAGCACATCATCAGCATTTCTAGCGGGTGCCACGCGATTGCACTGTTTGTTGGCATTGATTACGATATGTGTCGTGGGAGCGTGGAGGCGTGTATGACGTCATAGTGGTCTCAGAATTTTTTAGGCTATTCGGTCATTTAGTTTAGTCATTAATTTTATTGCTTGTTTAACTATTTTGTTGCCATAATTTTCGATAATCACTCGCTGCTAATATGTATGTATGTATGTATGTAGTTCCTTTAGAAAATGCTATTCAATGCAGTTTTTACATATATGTAAGTATGTATGTGCAAACAAAGAGCTTAAAGTATAAAAGCATATTAAAGTAGAGAGACGGTCATCAACGCATTTTAATGCCTGCCTAAATCTAGCACTGCTACAATTTTGAATGTAATAGGGGTATTCACTCAAACCGAAAATGCCTATTAAAGCTCGAAAGCTTCGACCGAACTGCCAAGTATTTATGAAAAAAATTTTTTTAGGCTGAATTTTCTAACTTTTCGAGTTCGGTGAATGCTTCTATAGTTCCCCCAAGGCAGATCAAAGAGGCATTTGAGCAAAAACACAAAAAAAACAGCATTTAAGTGTATTTTGTGGTTGCTTCTGGTCTCTAAAGTGTCAAACAAAATTTCAGATTTTTTTTTTAAATATATATAAACAAATATTAAAAAAAAAAAAAATTTAAGTGTCTTTTTGGTATTTTTTTACTGTTAGAAGCAAGGCCCAGTAATCAGCGTTTGTGCTCCTGAGTTAAGCGGCCATTCCAAAATAACGTTCAATCGCTTCTCTTTATATAAAAATGTTTCACTTGAAAATAGATAAACAAAATAGAAAAAGTAATAAACAATATCTGACACTTAAGAGACCAGATAATTAATAAAAAATCTAATCAGCTGATCTAATGATACTATCTGTTTAAAATGCCTATGTAGCACTGTCTAGGCGATACAACTTTATTTAAGCATTAAAAATATTTAAACTCAGCAGCTATGCCTTAATCGTAGAGTATGAAAAGTAAATATTTATATACACATTTCTGTAAAAAAGTATTTAAAAAAGCGGCATTTAAAGCTGGTGAGCTATTAAAATTACTTTATCCTTTCGTAAGTGTAATAAAAATGATTTTAGTAAAGTAACATAAAATGTTCTATATTAATGTACCGATATGTATGTATAACAACGTCGACCTTGGAAAACCATTTCGGGAACATAAGGACCATGAAATGATACCCACAGTGAGGTAAAATTTGTCGTTGTTGTTGTTTGGGTACTTAGCCCTGCCTAGAGTGTCGTTTTTAAATCGTTAAAGGCCCAGGAAACGTCTTGTTTCGATGAGGTTGTACCAGTGGGCGAAGGGTGTTAGTTGAGTTGAGTGAAGTAGGCTTGTGAGGAGAACCTTCACATGCCGCACATGTCGGGGTCTAGTCTGGGTAACCAAAAGTTTAACCTGCTACAGTATACAGACCGCAATTGAACCAGAGTTACGCGGGTCTCTTTAATAGGACGGGCGTTAGTGAAGGTGGTAACAGCCACCCTGTTCTTCCACAATTGGCAAGAAAATTGAAACCGCACCTTGGTTCAACTACGCTTGGAGGGAATGAAAGGCTATTGTTTATGAAAGTTCACCCGGTTTTCGCTTGTGAATCCTTAATATGGTAGCCAAACACACCACCAAAAATGTCATTTAACCTGTAATAAACCTCAAAGGTTTCCTTTACTCCTGCTAGAAGTCGCTTCCAGCATGGACTCTATTCTATATTTTTGTTCAAGTAGCAGCAGTCTCGAGAGGTCGCAAATGCAAATACCTAGCGGTACGGTTCATTCCAACAAATAACAGAAAGGTATCTTAGGTAAAATGTCAGAGATGGAAAGATTCGAAGGGCAGAACAGGTGCTGGTGTTTATGGACTGTGCACTAGACTTTCTATGGAAATGGACAGATGGCGCACAATCTTTTAGGTTCTCATATTTTCAGATAGCGCAGCTGGATACTCTTCCAATTTTGCCAGTGAGAAACACCGTAACATTGCACTGGATACCAGGTCTCTGCGGGGTCGAAGTAAACTGGAACGAGAACTGGCGTGAGAAGGCTCCGCGTCCATCAGTTGGGGTCTGAAACCATTTTGCCTGCTCAGTTGGTCTTCTTCAAGAGTTGCAATTGCCGAAAGCTGGTGCGCGGTAGGGGGGTCTATAGCATGTAAATCTATTTGCCTAACCGTTAGCTAGAAAGGAAATAAATATTTTTAATAGAGCCAAAATCAGCCTGGTCACATGGTACGTAATCGATTAAAACATCTTCATATGAACCGGATTGGTATGACCAAAGAGGCGGGCTGCACTCTTTGTCTTAAAAAGGACGAGACGTCGGAGCACATTCTGTGTGATTGTCCAATGTTGGCCAGACTTCGTTTGAATGACTTGAATTCATCCAAAGTCGAAAATTTTGTTATTAGGAATTCATCTAACAAGGTGTTATTAGTATTTTTAATGTAAGCTGATAGTATCTGGGGCTATCAATGTTAAAAAAAAAAATACAAATTTCAAAAATCAAACGCTACCTACAAGCACTGCAATTTTGTTACCAGCTCTTTCGCGGTCATCATTTATTTTGAGAAACAACGAATTTAGTAGATTTCCACCTGTTGTAGTACTTTTGTTTCGGAAATTTGGTAGAAAATCATACGAAGTGGCAACACTAATCGGATAAGGTTGTGAAAATGTAATTATGTATGTATGTAGGCAGGTGGCGCTTTAGTATATAAACAAAGTGCAACAAGTGCAGATCGACTACGTTGTGGTACGTAATTTTGTATTATTTATTTTTGGCAAAGAATATTATTTAAGAAAGCTTAACGTTCGAATATTTCTTTTGTCGTGCTTCTTTCGATTTGAAATTGAAACAAAAAAATGCAAAATTGACACGCGGGTAAGAGAGCTTTTCCGACCAATGTGTGATAATTTATTTATTTTTTTTTGATTCTTAGAGAATCTAAAAAAAAAAGAAAAGAGTAAAGTGTTTTTTATGTTTATATTTCGCTTATATTTGATAAAGCTACATAGCTTTTTTAAATGTTGACAAATCCATTTGTTTTCAGCAATTGCACAGATTCGATAGGCGACTGCCACTGTCAAAGATTATTTCAATATACATAAATATGTACGTATTTAACGGGTTTTTCATCAGTAATACTATTGATATTACTATCGATAATGATATCGACAGAAATATCGTTAATAATATGGATAATAATATCGATAACAATATCGCCAACATTATCAAAAATAATATCGACAGTATCAATAACAATATCGATAGTAATACCCATAACTAAGGATGGCAAAAAAAAAATAAAGTAATTAACCCAGAAGGTTACGTAGAAATATTTGACTTAATCAATTTAAACGAAATTTTGTTCTCAAACCCATCTATGTACATCCCGATTTTCGATAGTTTAAGTTAGTGAACAAATTATCTGCATTTCTAGGGATAAAATCACCTACATAGATAGATCTAAAATTGCACTCAGATATTTTTGTCGGAACTTAATACCCTTTTTCTTCCTAATTGAAATTTTTGCAAACGAAAATGCACTCTAAACTTAGCCACGGCTAGAAAATTCACCAAATACTTAACACAAATACCAAAAGTTACGCCACTGAGTTCAGGTTTTTCCTATTGGGTAGCAGCAAGCTTTTTAACGGTTAGTCGTATATACACAAATGGTTTGCCTATTTTTAGGCACCACTTACTAACATTTTCTCTCAAGTTCAGTGCTTTAAATTAGTATTTATGCCTCAACTTAACTTTTATCTATTGGCATGATGACGCTAACATTTTAGTGAAATAACACACTTAGTAGATGGTGTAACCTTACCGAGATTAAAATTTATGTGAACCTCAAGCAATGCAAAGCATAGGCTTTATCTTATATTTTTAGACATTTGCCATGTACGACCTCAACAAGTACTGGGATGTGCTTAGCATCAATAATGACTGGTATGGCGCAGAATTCATATCGACCGTGGAGCATGTCAAGTATGTAACTGCTAGTGCTTAAAATAGCAACCCTTGCACGCGATTCGCTACTGATCTTTCTTTTTTTTTTTCGCTTATTTTAGATATCCATTTTATGGCGTGCAATTTCATCCGGAAAAAATTCTTTATGAATTCATTCCTAATCGAAATATTACACACACTTCGCAAGCTGTCATCGCATCACAATATTTTGCAGATCTTTTTTGTGAATGAAGTGCGTAAAAATCGACATTCTTTCGCCAATCGTACAGAGGAGATCGATGCGCTCATCTACAACTATCAGCCGGTGTACACGGGTGCTAAGGGTTCTGCTTTCGTCCAACAATATTTGTTTGAGGCATATAACGCCAGCACATCATCAGCATTTCTAGCGGGTGCCACGGCGATTGCACTGTTTGTTGGCATTGATTACGATATGTGTCGTGGGAGGCGTGGAGGCGTGTATGACGTCATAGTGGTCTCAGAATTTTTTAGGCTATTCGGTCATTTAGTTTAGTCATTAATTTTATTGCTTGTTTAACTATTTTGTTGCCATAATTTTCGATAATCACTCGCTGCTAATATTATGTATGTATGTATGTAGTTCCTTTAGAAAATGCTATTCAATGCAGTTTTTACATATATGTAAGTATGTATGTGCAAACAAAGAGCTTAATATAAAAGCTATATTAAAGTAGAGAGACGGCTTCATCAACGCATTTTAATGCCTGCCTAAATCTAACACCGCTACAATTTTGAATGTAATAGGGGTATTCACTCAAACCGAAAATGCCTTTAAAGCTCGAAAGCTTCGACCGAACTGCCAAGTATTTATGAAAAATTTTTTTAGGCTGAATTTTCTAACTTTTCGAGTTCAGTGAATGCTTCTATGGTTTTAGTTCCCCCCAAGGCAAAAGATCAACAGAGGCATTTGAGCAAAACACAAAAAAACAGCATTTAAGTGTATTTTGTGGTTGCTTCTGGTCTCTCAAAGTGTCAAACAAAATTTCAGATTTTTTAATTATTATGTGAAATATATATAAACAAATATTAAAAAAAAAAAAATTAATGCATGGTATTTTTTTACTGTTAAGCATTGACATCTTGCAAGGCCCAGTAATAGCGTTTGTGCTCCTGAGCTTAAGCGGCTTATTCCAAAATAACGTTCAATCGTTTCATTTATATAAAAATTGTTTCACTTGAAAATAGATAAACAAAATAGAAAAAGATAATAAACAATATTATAAGTGTAAGCAAATGTTCAGTCTTTAAATGCAAATTTTTATACTTATGTACTTACAGGATTGGGCGAGAGAAAGAATACTACGAGGACATTATGTCTAAAATTAATGGGTAAGTTTGATTTTCGAGCAGTGAAAGGCTCAACTTGATTTCCTTTTTCCACACTTAGCACACTTAAATAAACATTTCAATTTTCTATTAATCTCTTTTGTCGTCACATCTCTGGCGTACAGTGTCCTACTGCCAGGCGGTGCAACTTATTTCAATCAATCGCGTGGCTATGCCGATGCCGGTCAACACATTTACAATATTGCCATTGAAATGAATGAGGCCGGCACATATATGCCCATTTGGGGCACTTGCTTGGGTTATGAGCTTATGATCTATTTAACAGCGAATCGTACAGATTTACGCACCGAGTGCTCGTCATCGGCGCAAGCATTACCGCTGGAATTCGAGAAAGGCTACAACAATAGCAGACTGTTTGGCAATGCCAGCGCTGAAGTGTTGCACATATTGAGCACATACAATGTGACAGTTAATTTTCACATCTTCTGCTTTACGAAGGAGGTAAGTATTTTGAGAATGAATGGTGTTGATGAGTTGCTAGAGCATAACAAGTGGAAAGTGACGTTTAGCATAACTATTGGCCGCAATAGCAATTTTAATAGCTATTACGAATAGTGCAAAAATTCAAAGAGAATACATACATATAGTTATAAGCCTATATCCTTAGTTGAGCGTTAAATACGTTGATAACTTGTGCAAGAGTACGCATTCGTATGCGTTACGTATACGCAATGTGTACCCTGAGGATTCTTACAAACTGTGACTCAAAGAATTGATCAAGAAAATTTTATTGATTGGATATTATTAGCCAATTTAAATGGTTTAACGGCTTTTCTAGTAGAAAAATTAAATTCGAATAGTGCGGCATTATATAGAGACACAACTCCAAAATCCGATTCGGAAATATAACTACTTTTGGATCTTACAGATTTAGAGCAATTAATGCAAAAACAGGTATAAAATTAGTTTTCTATGTAGTAAGAAAATTAAATCAGGAAGAAAAAAAAATTTGATTTATTGTATCAAATCAGCGAAGGAAAATATTTTTACGATAATGTTCTTCAAAAACAAAACTAAGGTTTATTGATATATATGTATATATTCTTTTGTGTTAAAATACATAATGAAAAAGTCATGCATGACTTAGGAATATAAAAAGTAATCATTTTGTGATAACATTAAATTTATATGTGCATTACATTGTGTCAAAAAGAGACTTAAAAATATTTATAAGTGCATTATTCACAGTTTCTAACTGCTTATCTATAGCTATAGCGTTGCATAAGAGACATTGTATCTCGCTAATATCTAATATATACGTATCGTTTTATGAGTATGTATGTATGTCAGTAACTAATATCATTAAAAATCAATAAAGTGGAACTGTAAATTTCTACTAATTTTAAGTTTCGCTGTTTGGGACAGAAACACGTGTCTGCAGCAATGCAAGTATGTACTTATCTACACTAATACTAGCTAAAATGTATGTAGTTACCCTGTTGGGAAAATTTCACTACCAGATACTGAATCACAGCTACATATACATATTTTCGTTGTTTTCCATACACTCACGGCAAAAAGTATTGGCGCAGAGAATTTTTCATAATGCATGTATTCTAATTTTTTCTGCAAATTTTTTGTAAAAATATTTTCCATACTACAACAAAAACCTACAAATATAATTTCTAAACTTTGTGCAAAACTCAGGGCACCTCAACAAATTTACATGCAAATTTTCAACTTTTTAATAACATTTTTTTTTATTAGCCCATTAAATTTTAGAATAAAAAATCTAAGTTCGAAGTTTCTAAAAAGTAGCATTTTTTAAGTGGACGTGCTTTACATTTTTTTCATACAAAGTATTTTCGAAATTTGTTTGGTATGAAAGAAAATGCGTAAAAATCAACGGTAAGTACCAGCTACTTCAAAGTTGGTCCAACCATTATATTTTTTGGAGTTTTTGGGGACCTATAAAAAATAGTTAATACCAAAAGATGGTAAAAAACAATAGAAAAATATTGATTTGTTTTTCTCCCATATAAAATACATAAAAAACTTTGAGCGCTTTGAGGGACCGCTAAATAATTTTTGATTTAAACAAACAAAAACTGGAGTATATTTGTTTGGTATAGAACAATTCTAGGGGGTGGCAGCATTAAAATTCCCACTTTACTTTATTTGGACCACCCTAATATATATACATATTTACATTTTATATGGGCATACAACAATCCTTTCCTACGTTTCTAATAAGAAAAAGTGTGCTAATCGATTGATGCCCTCTTGATTTAAATTAAAAAAGTGGTTTCATTCCCGGACCCCATTTCGTTATCGAATATTTTAAAAATTTTGTTACGATGGCTTCATAAAATGTATGATTTTCCGCTCACCATGTAAATGAATCGAATCATGAAGTCAATATTAACTCCAGATAAAGTAATTAACCCAGAAGGTTACGTAGAAATATTTGACTTAATCAATTTAAACGAAATTTTGTTCTCAAACCCATCTATGTACATCCCATTTTCGATAGATTTAAGTTAGTGACAAATTATCTGCATTTCTAGTGGTAAAATCACCTACATAGATAGATCTAAAATTGCACTCAGATATTTTTGTCGGAACTTAATACCCTTTTTCTTCCTAATGTGAAATTTTTGCAAACGAAAATGCCACTCTAAACTTAGCCAACGGCTAGAAAATTCACCAAATACTTAACACAAATACCAAAAGTTACGCCACTAGTTCAGGTTTTTCCTATTGGGTAGCAGCAAGCTTTTTAACGGTTAGTCGTGTATACACAAATGGTTTGCCTATTTTTAGGCACCACTTACTAACATTTTCTCTAGCATAATGCAATTTCAAGTCGCTTTTAAAATGTATGTATTTATGTCCCCATCAAACTTTTATCTTATATTTTTAGACATTTGCCATGTACGACCTCAACAAGTACTGGGATGTGCTTAGCATCAATAATGACTGGTATGGCGCAGAATTCATATCGACCGTGGAGCATGTCAAGTATGTAACTGCTAGTGCTTAAAATAGCAACCCTTGCACGCGATTCGCTACTGATCTTTCGTATTTATTTTTCGGCTTATTTTAGATATCCATTTTATGGCGTGCAATTTCATCCGGAAAAAATTCTTTATGAATTCATTCCTAATCGAAATATTACACACACTTCGCAAGCTGTCATCGCATCACAATATTTTGCAGATTTTTTTGTGAATGAAGTGCGTAAAAATCGACATTCTTTCGCCAATCGTACAGAGGAGATCGATGCGCTCATCTACAACTATCAGCCGGTGTACACGGGTGCTAAGGGTTCTGCTTTCGTCCAACAATATTTGTTTGAGGCATATAACGCCAGCACATCATCAGCATTTCTAGCGGGTGCCAGGCGATTGCACTGTTTGTTGGCATTGATTACGATATGTGTCGTGGGGGCGTGGAGGCGTGTATGACGTCATAGTGGTCTCAGAATTTTTTAGGCTATTCGGTCATTTAGTTTAGTCATTAATTTTATTGCTTGTTTAACTATTTTGTTGCCATAATTTTCGATAATCACTCGCTGCTAATATGTATGTATGTATGTAGTTCCTTTAGAAAATGCTATTCAATGCAGTTTTTACATATATGTAAGTATGTATGTGCAAACAAAGAGCTTTAAGTATATTAAAGTAGAGAGACCTTCATCAACGCATTTTAATGCCTGCCTAAATCAAACACCGCTACAATTTTGAATGTAATAGGGGTATTCACTCAAACCGAAAATGCCTTTTAAAGCTCGAAAGCTTCGACCGAACTGCCAAGTATTTGTGAAAAATATTTTTTAGGCTGAATTTTTCAACTTTTCGAGTTCAGATGAATGCTTCTATGGTTCTTTTTAGTTCCCCCCAAGGCAAAAGAAACAGACATTTGAGCAAAAACAACAAAAACAGCATTTAAGTGCATTTTGTGGTTGCTTCTGGTCTCCAAAGTGTCAAACAAAATTTCAGATTTTTTTTTAAATATCATAATGGGCCATGTGAAATATACTATATAAACAAATATTACAAAAAAAAAAATTAAATGTATTTTTTTACTGTTAAAAGCATTGATCCATCCTCTGCAAGGCCCAGTAATTAGCGTTTGTGCTCCTGACTTAAGCGATTATTCCAAAATAACGTTCAATCGTTTCCATTTATGTAAAATTGTTTCACTTGAAAATAGATAAACAAAATAGAAAAAATAATAAACAATATTTGACACTTCAGAGACCAGATAATTAATAAAAAATCTAATCAGCTGATCTAATGATACTATCTGTTAAAATGCCTATGTAGCACTGTCTAGGCGATACAACTTTATTTAAGCATTAAAAATATTTAAACTCAGCAGCTATGCCTTAACCGTAGAGTATGAAAAGTAAATATTTATATACACATTTCTGTAAAAAAGTATTTAAAAAAGCGGCATTTAAATAGTGAGCTATTAAAATTACTTTATCCTTTCGTAAGTGTAATAAAAATGATTTTAGTAAAGTAACATAAAATGTTCCATATTAATGTAACTTTATGTATGTATGTATAACAACGTCGATCTTGGAAAACCATTTCGTGAACATAAGGACCATGAAATGATACCCACAGTGAGGTAAAATTTGTCGTTGTTGTTGTTTGGGTACTTAGCCCTGCCTAGAGTGTCGTTTTTAAATCGTTGTCATCAAGCTCAACTAAAGGAAGGCTCAGGAAACGTCTTGTTTCGATGAGTTTGTACCAGGGGGCGAAGGGTGTTAGTTGAGTTGAGTGAAGTAGGCTCGTGAGCAGAACCTTCACATACCGCACATGTCGGGGTCTAGTCTGGTTAACCAAAAGTTTAATCTGCTACAGTATACAGATCGCAATTGAACCAGAGTTACGCGGGTCTCTTTAATAGGATGGGCGTTAGTGAAGGTGGTGATAGCCACCCTGTTCTTCCACAATTGGCAAGAAAATTGAAACCGCACCTTGGTTCAACTACTCTTGGAGGGAATGAAAGGCTATTGTTTATGAAAGTTCACCCGGTTTTCGCTTGTGAATCCGTAATCTGGTATCCAAAACCACCACCAAAAATGTCATTTAACCTGTAATAAACCTCAAAGGTTTCCTTTACTCCTGCTAGAAGTCGCTTCCGGCATGGACTCTATTCTATATTTTTGTTCAAGTAGCAGCAGTCTCGAGAGGTCGCAAATGCAAATATCTAGCGGTACATGCCAACAAATAACAGAAAGGTATCTTGGGTAAAATGCGGAAATGTGGAAAGATTCGAAAGGCAGAACAGATGCTGGTGTTTATGGGCTGTGCACCAGACTTTCTATGGAAATGAACAGATGGCCCACAATCTTTTAGGTTCTCATATTTTTAGATAGCGCAGCTGGATACTCTTCCACTTTTGCCAGCGCGAAACACCGTAACATTGCATTGGATACCAGGTCTCTGCGGGGTCGAATTAAACTGGAACGAGAACTGGCGTGAGAAGGCTCCTCGTCTATCAGTTGGGGGTCTGAAACCATTTTGCCTGCTCAGTTGGTCTTCTTCAAGAGTTGCAATTGCCGAAAGCTGGGGAGAGGTAGGGAGGTCTATAGCATGTCAATCTATTTGCCTATCCGTTAGCTAGAAAGGAAATAAATATTTTTAATAGAGCCAAAATCAGCCTGGTAACCTGGTACCTAATCGATTAAAACATCACCGGATTTGTATGATCAAACTGACAGGCTGCGCTCTTTGCCTTAAAAAGGAAGAGACGTCGGAGCACATTCTGTGTGATTGTCCAACGTTGGCCAGACTTCGTTTGAATGACTTGAATTCATCCAAAGTCGAAAATTTGGTTATTAGGAATTCATCTAACAAGGTGTTATTAGTATTTTTAATTGAAGCTGATAGTATCTGACGCTATCAATGTTAAAAAAAAAATACAAATTTCAAAAATCAAACGCTACCTACAAGCACTGCAATTTTGTTACCAGCTCTTTCGCGGTCATCATTTATTTTGAGAAACAACGAATTTAGTAGATTTCCACCTGTTGTAGTACTTTTGTTTCGGAAATTTGGTAGAAAATCATACGAAGTGGCAACACTAATCGGATAAGGTTGTGAAAATGTAATTATGTATGTATGTAGGCAGGTGGCGCTTTAGTATATAAACAAAGTGCAACAAGTGCAGATCGACTACGTTGTGGTACGTAATTTTGTATTATTTATTTTTGGCAAAGAATACTATTTAAGAAAGCTTAACGTTGGAATATTTCTTTTGTCGTGCTTCTTTCGATTTGAAATTGAAACAAAAAAATGCAAAATTGGCACGCGGGTAGGAGAGCTTTTCCGACCAATGTGTGATAATTTATTTATTTTTTTTTGATTCTTAGAGAATCTAAAAAAAAAGAAAAGAGTAAAGTGTTTTTTATGTTTATATTTCGCTTATATTTGATAAAGCTACATAGCTTTTTTAAATGTTGACAAATCCATTTGTTTTCAGCAATTGCACAGATTCGATAGGCGACTGCCACTGTCAAAGATTATTTCAATATACATAAATATGTACGTATTTAACGGGTTTTTCATCAGTAATACTATTGATATTACTATCGATAATGATATCGACAGAAATATCGTTAATAATATGGATAATAATATCGATAACAATATCGCCAACATTATCAAAAATAATATCGACAGTATCAATAACAATATCGATAGTAATACCCATAACTAAGGATGGCAAAAAAAAAATCGATTAATTAATCATATGATTAATCACAAGCCAAAGGAATTAATTGCAGTCAATTGCAATAATTGAAAAATAATTGATTAATCGAATTTTTAAAGGCACTTTTTTATAGTGGGTATTCACCAAAACACTTTTCCATAAAAAAATTTTCAAATTCTCTTGTTAATTAGCCTTAAATGAAATAAAACGAGTGTTTTTAGCGGAGATAATTATTTATTATTTACCCAAGTTTGCAAAAACTGAGGTACCAACTAAATTACAGTATTTTTTTGAAAGTCCGTAAAGTTTTGGGTAAAAAGTTTTCATTTCCTCCTAAGCGCTATGATATTCCGCTTTAGTTCCTGGACTTGACAACTTAAATAAAAACTAATTTCTTTTTGTGGGTGACCCAAGTCATCATCTTTTCGCCTTCGTTTGTGTACAAGAGATTTATGAGGGGCCCGAAGATCGATGGATGGATTTTAGATAGCTACAAAATTCATACTGAAAATATTTTTACGATTATTTAGTAATTAATCGATTAATGAAACACAAAACTACGATACAATTAAATCGTAAATTGGAAAAAATTAATCGATTAATTTAATCAAATGATTAATCGCTGCCATCCCTACCCATAACAATAAAGATAATAAAATCGTTAATATCATCAGTAGTAATATCGAACACAATATCGATAATATCTTATATCGATCAAAAATATTTAAAAATAAATATGTCGACTGTGGTAGCCGAGTCATAGAATTACTCTCAGAAACTGTATGCATAAATACGTATTATGTATGTGTATACTTACATATCAGAATGCAGTTTTCATTTTATTTTACCGCAAAATTTTGTTGTATGACGCAACCAAGTATGACTGAGGGTGTGTGTATATTTAACTCGAGATGCATTATTCGTTGGTTCTTTTCTTGTTCGGGACGATTGCGATGCCGGCGAATGGACACGAGTGAACACATACATATGCACACATACAAATACCCTGCAGAGAAACCGCGCTCTAGTGAGTCAAATTTCTAGTTCCGTACTAGTTCTTTATCGCCAAAAACCAACCAGTCCGATAGTAACTAGATCCCCACCAGCTCAAAATCAGCGAAATGTGGTACGTTTATTTCACTTTTTTCATTAGAAATCTATATTTCAGATGACCAATTTGAATCTGGCCCGGAACTATAGAAAAAGGGTCGCAGATCGAACTAGATCTAGAGCTTGTTTACTTTACATAGATATGTGTTTGGCGGCGATTTCGTTCAAATACGCTACCATTCTGCACTTCCCAGATGCTTTTTCATAACTTGGTAATACAAAATAAAAATTTGTGTTAACATTTTAACATCTTGGGACCATCTGGAATCTAACCAATATCAGCGAGCTAGAGCTGTCAAACTATCGACGATACTATCGATAGTATCGATAGTCTGGTCACTTGAAATAACTATCGATAGTTTTAGTACTATCGCCACTATCGCTTCATTGATAGCGTATTCTCCTTCCTAGCGCTTTTGATATTTGCACGTATTGGTTCAAAGAGAACAAAAATTGGCAGCATTATTTCAGGAACGAACGAATAAAGATCACCTAGGACGGTGTGCGAGAAAGTATTTTTTTGCAGTGACGTCATTTTTTCGCCGCCATGTGAATAAAACGGTATGAAACCATGTGTGTTAATGAAACAACCGATGAAAAAATTACGTTATTTGCTATTATTATTTTTTTCTCAAATGCAATTACAAATACGCGGATGCCGTGCTGGGTAATCTGTTTAGTTGGTTCATTGCATTATTTCCAAAAGCGCCATTTTTTTATTTTTAGCGTGGAAATAGCAGAGGTTATATTGCCGTTTTAAGAGCGTGTCATACCGGGCAATGCAGTATATGTATTTCAAAAGACTGTCAAATTGAGAAATTGCAGAAAGCAGTTGCATGAGCAGTGGCACCTTGCATGTAAAGACATTTTTTATTTCCGAAAGGCGAATTGCAGAGAAAATTTCTGAAATCGCTTTTTGACTATCTACACAGCGAATGAATTTCTAGCAATATTTCTCGAATCTAAAATGCAACCATGAGCCGATAAAATAAACAAATTAATAAAAGCATGATAACGAAAAATAAATGGATTTAGAAAAACATATGAAATGGGTCGATACTATCGATAGTATCGATAGTCACCCTTAAGACTATCGCAAAACATCGATGGACTTGACTATCGATAGTTTGACAGCTCTACAGCGAGCAACTCTGCAACTCAGCTCATGATACTTTTTTCTTTCGTATCTCGTTTTTAGATCTTAGTGATTTTCGTGATGCTCAGAGAGAGCTTTTACTCTGTGCGCATCCATATAAAATCTACAGAGAGCTTTGAAGAGTTCCGCCCGCGGGCGCTGTTTTGAGCATCGCTGGTCCAAATGTACTAAATAGAAGCGCACCAGTTCAGAACTAGAGATTTTCCTTACAGGGTACATAGCGATAGAGTGAAAATTTTTATCGTGTGCTAGTATAGTTTTAGCTGCAGTGCGCTTGGATACTTACTTCTCCGTACATATAGTAAGAAATATGTAAGCATATCCATGCTGTGTACCGGTATCTGGAGAAATCGATTCAACTGTGACAGTTTGCCAGTGTTCGATGAATTTTCTTAAAATAAGAAATTTAAATTTGAACCTACAATTACGTAGGATATTAGAGCTACTAATACACATCGTCGGTGCATATGAAGAAATACGAGCGATTGTTTTAACGGTGAAAAAGGACGCGTAAAACAAAGAAGACAAAGAAAGACGCGTAAACATATACATACATACAAAAGTTCTTTTTTCGCTGACGGTTTTTTAAGCGTCGTCTTTTGTCGCGACTTTCTTCCCGATCGAACTTTTGAGTTTGTATCTTTCTTCGCATGTACAGGCGATATGTATATGTGATAGAGGATATTACGGAAAGAGCAACTGTTCTCATTCCGATAAGAGCTGTATGTTCTTCAGATAAAATATTTATTTCGCACGTACAATAAATGCTTAACATTTCTATTAGATTTTCGACGAACAAAATATGCATCAAAACGACTTGTGCACCAAGCCCTTGATTGGCATACTATGTATGGATCGAAAGAATACAATGAGGGAGGACATTTGTAGTTATATCGATAACTCTTACGTAGAGTATTTGGAGGCTGGAGGCGCTCAAGTTGCTCCCATTTGGTAAGTACACTAAGTACTTATGCATTACACTGTGTGACAAAAACAAAAAAAAAACAAAAAAATGCTCTCTGAAGTCGGCGTTTTTTACAAGGACTTTCAGACTACAAAAAAAAAAAATGTATGTTAGTCGTTATCACGAAAATTTTTCAAAAAATAAATATTGCAAATTTTCAAGGATATTTAATATAACGATTTTAAAATGACTTATTTAATACCCATTTGTACTTATCCAACAAAAAAATTAGACCTTTTTAATTCTACAAAATTTTCTCTTTTATTTGAAATCCATATTGTTATTCTACATTGTTCTTAGTTTTTAAAATAATTTTTTTTTGAGTTAATCACATCTTTAAAGTTTCAAAGTCCTTTTTGAGGTAGAGAAAAACTAAAAGCCTTGATTTTTACTATTACTATTTTTGGCCCCTAGTTTCGCAAATATTTTTTGTGTGTAAAACTGATTGTCACACGGTGTTATGAATTATGAAATTTGTTTTAATGGCTTCGTTTACCAAGGATCAACAAAGGCCCAGAGTATTATAATTATATGCTGAACAGGATAAATGGGTAAGTTCCAAATTAATAAATAGTTAAATAAAATCTGTAGTTACAAGCCATAACACAGCTTAAGTCGCATTTGGCTTCAGTATAATGCAGCATATACATATGGTCGTCTGAACCGAAGATCATATTTTCGAGAAAATCAAAATAATATATAAAACTTGTTATATAGAACCTATGTATGTATACAGTGGTGGCCAAAACACCTGAAAAGAAAAAAAAATCATCGAAAAGCTCATCCACTGAGTTTTCTAATAGAGACGAGTTCCCTTGAGGTGGCAGTGGCAGAACTGTGTAGAGATTCTTGCAGGAGACCTCGGTTTGTGCCTCTCTCTACGTACATTTGGCTCCAAAAGAAGTTGTCATCCAGTCCGAGACGTGTGGCAATAGAACACACAGCAAATCAGGTTGAGGTGGGTAACTTCGTCCCTGGTGACAGATACAAAGCGAACCGCATTTCCTCTGTTATATGTACTTAGTAATAATATTTTGACGCTTACACTTATGCTAAGTATTTGGCCGAGCTTCTCCTTCAATTTTGTGGTGTGCGTCCTAATGTTATCACACAAATAGAGGGACACGCAATTTTACGCCGATTCCGAATGGCGATTGTATTTTTATGAGAAGCTGTTTTTCAACGCAGAAATACCCTTTGAGGTTGGCCACTGCCTGCCGAGGGGCCACCGCTGTTAGAAAAAACTTTTTTTGTAATTTGAATGCTGCTTTTGTCAGAGATCGATCCCTGGTCCTACCGCGTGGTAGTACTCGCTATCTCATTAATAGTAGGATGTCGCGAATTCTCGCTCGGTAGCAATCACGATGTTGGTCTTTCGGAGCCCAGCCTCAGCCAAAACTTCCTTTAGCGACATTAGAGGTAGTTCCACCTTGTTGTTTGGGACATTATAGGATCCGGACGTTCTTATCGGTATTTGAACGGATTCGTAAAAGTGTTCTCAAAGTTAACTGAATCTATTGACCATCAAATGTAATTTTTAAATTCGAAAATTCAGATATCCGGTTAATATCCATACTGATATACATATATACTAAAATATGTATGTTCTTTCGACGCACGTACAGCATTCTATTACCTGGTGGCGCAGTTTTTGTCAACGAACATGATCCCGCCCGCTTAGAATTGACTAACAATTGTGTTCGGGCCGTGGATATGATAATACGCATAGCAAAAGAAAAGTACAAGGAGGGTATTCATCTGCCTGTGTGGGGTACTTGTTTGGGATTTCAACTTTTGATACTCTATACCACCAGTCTGGCAACAACAACATATGGCACGGATCCACGTGAGATATGCAAATACATGGAATGCCTTTTACCCGTGGACTTTTTGCCAGGTAATATTTCGCTTATGTAATAGGGTGGTCCTTAAAACGAAGAAAATAAGAAAACCCACGAAAATTCCAAATTAAAAAAATAAAATTAGGTGTCGTTACCAGAGCTCGAAACTTTTTTAATTCGCAAAAATTCGACAAAATATGGTCTTGAAACCAGATAAATTGAATATACTATTGAAAATTAATATTATGTGTAAATTTATAAACTCGGTGCTAAAGCGTATAAATTTGTATAAACAAAATGTATACAAATTTATACATACACTTTGATTATAGTTATGTGGTACATATTTCTAGGCTCCATATTTTGCGCAAAAATCCGCAGTTAGTTATAACAGATCAAAGAGACAATTTTGTCTAATTTTTACGAGTTAAAAAAAAAATTTTTTCAAAACCTGGTAGCAACCCCAATGTTAAAAAAAAAATTTTAAATTTTAGGGAATATCTTTATTTTGTGCGTTTATTCCTTTCTTGAAATTAAAAATTTTTTGCCCCTTATTTTTTTTCTTTGAAAATATTAACTTTTATATTCGGTCTAAATTTCAAAACGCTGTAGAAAATAACGATGGAAATTGTATTGAAAATAAAAATTATTTTTCTTTTTCGCACACGTTCTTATTGAGTTATTTTCGGTTCCCTTATATTGAGTTCGCAGTAAGAAATAAACCGGGATAATTTTTAAAGTAATCTTCTACAGCTTTTAACAGTTCTTGATATTTCGTACATTTGCTGCAAAATAATAAAAAATCGAGTTAAGCATACAGCAATGACCGCAGACTGTTCTTCTACGCTGAACCGATTACCATTAGCGCACTAGAATAAATATTGTAAAAATTGTAAATTGAAAACTTTTTTCAAGCCGTTTTACTTTTTTAGATTATACGACACTCTTGCAGCAATTTAATATGCGATTTAATTTCTATTTATTTTCTGCAGCGTATTGAGCTTTAAAATAAAAAAAAGTTAAATTTGTGGAAACATTAAAAATGCTATTTACAAAAAGTAAAAATTATATAAAACGGTTGACGTAAATATGCAATTAAAAAAATGTGTGTTCACACTGTAGATTTTCGGGATTCAAAACTTTTTGCTCATTTGTCACACGAACTGGAGACCATCATGCGGAATGAACCATTTGGTCATCATCGACATAAATATTGCTGGACCATTGAGGTACATTTAGATAGCTTAAGTTTTTAGTTTCAGTTTAACTTTATTTCAATCAAACTTGACATTAAATCGCTTCATTTCAATCAATTTTAGTTCACTGCCCTTCTTGTTCACCCGGTTTGTTTAACCGCACTTCACTTAACTTTACTTCATTCTACATCCCTTCATTTAACTTTAATTAATTTCATTAAACTTCACTTAAAATCATTTCGCTTATCTTAACTTCAATTGACTTCACTTCACTTCACTTTACTTTACTTTACTTTACTTTACTTTACTTTACTTTACTTCACTTCATCTCATTTAACTTCATATCTTTTCCTTGCATTTTACATTCGAGTCAACTTTACTTCAATTCCCTTCACTTTTATTTCTTCATGTTTAATTTCATTCTATTGATTGCATTTAATTTCATTTTATTGATTTAATTTCATTTAATTCTATTTTATTCCGTTTTGTTTAATTTCATTAAACCTCACTTTAAACCACATCGCCTATCTCAACTTCACTTCGTTTCAAATCTCTTAATTTAATTTCATTTCATATCTCATTTGATTAAACTTGGGATCCCTTCAATCCTTTTAACTACATTTCATCTCATTTAATTTTATTTCATTTCATTTCACTTCACTTTGTATCCCATAATTTCATCTCATTTCATTGTATCTCATCTTGACTAATTTTATTCCATTTAATTTTCTAAACTTTTGTACTTAAGTTCGTTTAATTTTTTCACTTTTTCAGTTTTTTCATTTTCTATTCCATCGATATCCACACATTTTTACTATAACGAGTTATTGGAATAAAACTCTTTTCTTTATTAAAAAAAAAAAGTTATGTAAAAGTTTCGCAGATGGCTGGCATGTATTGGCGCAAAACTCAGATGGCAATGGCACAGAATTCGCTTCGATTGTGGAACACCGCAAGTAAGTGGCTATATAGAGTTTATGAATATGTTGTTAGTTCTACTTTGTGAATAATCTTAAATCTTTTAAACTTCTATATTTATGCCTTACTAGGTACCCCTTTTTCGGGACACAATTTCATCCCGAATCGGACTGCCCCGAGCATTGTATTAAAGTGAGAGAATATTTAGCAAAGTTCTTTGTAGACGAGTGCCGTCGTTGTAGTAATCGATTTGAAAACGCCGAAGAGGAAAGGCGACATTTAATACAAAATTTTCCTGTCGAATATGAAGAAAACAAAAATATACGTGCGTTTGGCGGATGCCCTGATTACCCTGAGTAAATGAAATTTACGAAATACTTGAAGTAAAAAAAGAAAAACAATTTGTGATAGTCGAAGGCTGTTTATTATAATTTTCGAATTCATTGTGAAAACGCACTTCTGTGTATAATTTATGTTAATCTTAATGATAATTAAATTAATGAAATAACAATCGTCAACCGAATATTTGTTCTTTTAAGGTGTTAAAAAAATTTGGTTGCGTTCAATGGAAACAACGCAAAGAATACCAAAATGTGAAAGTGAATTACTTGCTCACTTTAAGAAGGGAACGATCCAACTGCAACTTGCACTTTTAGATAAATTATATTATAAGTACGCTGTTTGAGAACTACATATCATACCTACTGATATGCACACGAATGAAATGAGCAACAAGCAGCTAAAGAGCATAACGTTGCATACCTGTAGGCGGACTATACATTTGTAACGACTGCAACCAGCCAAAGTCATAATTGGGCAAAATTCTTCATTATTAGCTTTTAAAGAAGGCGAAAATGCTGTGCGTAAAAATACATACATATATTCTAGCCAAAGTTGTATTTAAGCGTAAACGGTAGCAATTTTTGTAAGCTTTAAGTCTCACACAGATGTGGTAAAAGGTCTTTGATGCTTTCTTCGCTTACAAAATATTTGGGCGCCCGCTGTGATACTAATAAAAATATATGTAAATGTTTTTGGTTTTGTTAACCGTCGCCAAGAAGTCTTACGTTTCAATCGACTATCCTTTTTTTTTTGATTGCATACAGCAACGCTATTTCTATTTATATCCAAATTAGGCTTCTGAACTAACCTTTTTAGCTTTCTTACCCAAAAACACCTCCTTTTGCATTATTAATTACCACTTCATTCAAAATAAGTACTGCACCACGATTATTCAAACGCATATACATACATACACACATACATATGTACATATTTTTGCTTAATACATATACCGTTCATCTAAATTAATTTGTAAAATATTTACACAGCCACCCAAAGACATTTGACAGCAATCCCCACATAAAAAAGGAAACCAACAAAGTTTGTCTGCGCCATGCGATGTATGTATGTATGTATACACATATATATGTGTAATTAGATGTGTAAGCGCTAGGAGAGGAGTAATGCGAGACAAAGCACCACAAATGAAGATTAGAACAAAGACTACCGCCTGGAAAGGCAACCGGCCAAAATCAGGCAGGTGTAGGTAGGATAGGATGAAGGAGCTGTTAGAAAGTTTCTCCAAAAAGTTTCCACGATTAAGACGTCCGTCCACGCTCTATTGCTTTTAAAATATTTACAAATACATACTCGTATGTAAACATTTATGGCATGTGTTTTTGTGTGTGAAATTTTGTTAGCTTAGTACGCGTAATTTTCCTTCGTTCTGCATACATACCCTGCAAAGAAAAGCCAATTTAGTTAGTAAAACTACCAGTTCATGAACTGGTAGGAGCTAATGCGGTGGCCTACCGTATCGACATTTTCGAACAACTTATGCCATCAGCGATATATCCTTTAGAATTATCAAAGCCAAAACTCAAAATTTAAATGTAAACAAAGAATTTGTGCATCTAAATTACTTTTCGAAAAAAAAATAAAATTAAGGAAAAATCCTAAATGCATTTTCCGTTTTTTTAATAATTAAATTTAAAAATACAAAAAAAAGACAGATTTACATTAAAAAAGAAAAAAATGTTTCCAATGCACGACGATTTGAACTCGGATCTCTGGAATTGTGACTGTTGAATAAAAGATTTATTTAAATTCTATAAATTTTTATTTTATTTCTACTGGTGACATTTTATTGCAATTTTCATGAAACCATTTTTTGTTTTAAATGTTGGGAATATATGCTCAAAAGATTTTTCTTTAGCTAGAATTTTACGGGTATAAAGTTCTTCCCATTCTTCTGATAAATTAGTTTGTTTCATTCTTCTGATAAATTAGTTTGTTTTCAATTTCTATTATAGCATCTTTATTTCAGGGATGGGCGTTTTTGAATGAATTTTTATTCAAATAAAAAATAA